AGGCGCCACTTGGCCTCTATGTGAACCATTATGGGAAATGATATGTACCAATAGCATTTCCCTATGCCTAATTAGTAATAGATCTGTAATGGGAAATACAAAAAGATATACAAAGAATATTTTCTGAAAGGATCTCAAAAGCATGAACTGAAATTCTGTCACCAACATTTCTATCATTAACATCTTCAAGATTCTTACCCACAAATTTGGAAAGATTCTCTATTCTAAGTGATAAAGAACAATTCGAAGAAAACAAATAATCACAAAAATATTATATTTTTCCTCGACCAACAAAAAAAGTCATGCAAATATAGATCAGAGATTAATTCTTACCTGCCCTTCTTTTCCTGGAGAATAATAGATAAGATTTAAATATTTATTGTTGGAAATAGTTTATTAGTTAGTGAAATTGGTCAACTTTGAGCCCCAATTTTTGTGGGACCTGTACTTCGATTTTCACGGGACCAAGCATATTCACGTTCTACTCCGCGAGGTGATTAACTCGATATATTTATTTATCGAAAATCATTTAAAATTGAATGAAATATTTGATGTCAAAGTAGTCCACTTGAAACTATAAACTAATAAAGAATTTTATTTATTGAAAATTGCCAAACACATCCCACATAGGAAAGTTATGAAACTTTATCATTGTTTGGCCCCCATTTTGGAGAATTTATAATTTTTGGAATAGTGATTAATGAGAGAATGTGCAGTTGAAAAACAATGAAAATGTTTAGATTTGTTTGTAATATTATTTTATTTGGAGAATGTGTGGTCAAAATTAAGAAATGGGAAAATTTTAAAAAATTTAATGAGGGCCAAACAAGGGTTTTGGTATGGTTTAGATAGTAAAAATTTGGGAATTGGGTTGGTACCAATAGTTTTTGGAAGGGGAAGACCTATATCCTATTGAATTCGGTCCTAAGCCCACGTCCTCAACTTGGTCCTCATCTCGAGATCAATGTATGTAGTTTTTGAGGACTTATTCTAAATTTCTCAAAGTTGAGGACCAAGTTGTAACCTTTTCCATTTTCCAATATAGCCACCTTTCTCTTCTTTCTCAATGAGTATCTTCCCTTTGTTCAATAAGGATAGCTCTCTTTACAAACATGGAATGACATTTTTCGGATTCTTGCCTCTTCTGCATCCATTTGTTGTCATTCATATTATAAGCAATTTGGATTATGTAATTGTTGACACACTAAAAAGTGCAGTCCAAATTAAATAGCTCAAAGAGCGAAACCCAATTGAGAATCTAAGATGAAAGCTCAAGCAAAGGGTAAAAAGCCCACAAACANCCCGAGCTTGCGGAACGCCGTCGCCCGATGTTGAACGAATAAAATATCTTATGGACGCCCAGAGCGAAGGAGTCGTCGCCCAAATTGCTGAATCGCCCAGAATTCTAACGATGACTAAACCCTGTCGTTATCTAAAAGTCACGATTGGAAGTGGTTTGAGCACATCACGATTACATCCCACGGTTTGAGAAAATTAGTGGCAAGTGGTTATGAAGAAAACGTGGTGGTAAGAGTTACAAATAGTAGTTATTGGTCAGACAGCCACTATGAAATAAATGGGTAGTTACGAGCAGAGTCCAAACGGTTGAGAACCGCCCAAGGAGTATAAAAGAAAGAAGAAAACAATGAAGACAGCCCTGACAAAATTCACTCTCATACAGAGAATATGTAATTTACTTTTTCTTAGATTAACTTTAATTAATTCAATCTCCTTGTACTTGTGTGATTGCGCCCCTTGGAGGCATCTTATTCGTATCCAAACTGTAATCTTCATATTCGATAAACACCCCCTTTTTGG